ATTACTATCTTTATCAACAAATGTTATACCTTGATCAGGCTGAACATTTTCATTCTCACTTTTATCCTTGCTTTTTTCCAGGGAAGATATTGTGGTAGCACACAATAAGAAATAGAGAAACAAAACATAATTTAGCTTCATTTTAACTGCAAAAAAGAAAAGAAAAAAAAAAAACTATTTTAAGTATAAATTTATTTAAACCGCAAAAATTTTAAATGAATAAAATTTAATTCTATAAAATTATTTCCAATATCTAATCTTTTAATAATATTCAATTTTTAAGTTAAAAAAAAAAAAAAAAAATTTATTTACTTAATATATTTTTAATACTTTTTTTTTTTTTTTTTTTTTTTTTAGAAAGCTAACTTCATTATTATTACGGTTAAATTTATTAGATAGCAAAATATGTTTATAAAATTTTATATAAATTGTAAAATATAAAAAAAAAAAAAAATTTCAGGCCTAACTACATATATAAAAGATTAAAATTGTATTACCCATATAAATTATTATTTAGCAAAACATAAAATTGAAATTACTTTAATGTACATTTTCGATCACAGAAAATAGATTACTGATAAATAATTTTTTTTTATTGTTTTCTTATTAAATTATATGTACGTAAAACTAAGAATAAATCGTAGAATCATATTTTTTTTAACTGTAAGACAGCGGACTCTCGTCTTTAAAGAAAAACAAACTTTTGCACATACGTGTTATTTTTAAGTATTTGTCAACAAAATATGGCGGATAAGTATTTTTTTTTATGCAAAACAAATTAATTTATTTTAAGCTTACATTTAATTTTTATTTAAAATATGTGATGTCACATTCTTCAAGTGAAGTTCTAATGATTACATTAAAGATTGTCAGAAGTAAAATTTTGAGTTCAAAACATATACGGGATATCAGCTGAGTGAGGAGGCATTGTTGAAAACATTGATTTTTCTACTAAATGAATTTTAAAAAATTTAGTAATTATATTTTACGAGTAAATATTTATAAAATATCAAAAGTTATTAATTATTTATATAAAAAATAGCTTGTTGATTTAAAAATATCCGTAACTAATAATGAGCCGTAGCGATTTCAAATAATAATTTATACTTTTTTAAAAATATCTTTAATTATAATTGTTTTTATAACCTAAAATAATTTTTACAATAATTTTTAAAAAATTACTTTATTAAATTTTTTTTTTATGAAATACAGGTACAGGTTTTTGTTCGAAATACTGTAGTGCTGCTGAAACAGTTTCGAGTTCTATATTATACAAAGGATGAATTGGAGATAATTCATTACTTCTGCATCCTAAAATAATTCTTTTTTCTCCTGAATGTTGTGCTACTGAAAGGCCACTCAATGCATAACAAGTGTGATAAAAATCCCTATGCCTATAAAAACAATAAATAACTTAGCAAAATCATATTCAGAAAGTAAAAGGAAAAAGAAAAAAAACTTACTTTTTTGGTTTATCAATTAAACCACCTGTAGAATTTTGACAGCAAGTTAAAACATATTCTTGTAAAGCTTCTTGATGAAAGAGCCATCGCTCATGATTAAGTACATTTTCTATATCGAATTTTGATAAAATACCATGGATTATTGGAAAAGTACCCCCTTGCCAAAAAGAATAGCAACCATCAACCAATTTATTTGTTCTTCCTTGAAATCCACCTTCAAATTTCATTTGTCTGTTCACTACCCACCTCTAAAATAAAAATTATAATTTTAAATAATCATTTTGGAAAAGCGTAAAACTTTGAGTCAATATAACACTTTTGTAAATAACAGATTTAAAATTGTAAATTTTCACATGGCTTGAACAATTTTAAAAATCTACTTTATCTTACTACTAATCTCTGAAAACATAACAAAACCACCTACCAAAAATGATTTAATGTCCAACAAATATTCTTTATTAAGTAAGACTATAGCAGCAAGACCACAAAAAGCATAACCTCCATGAGCTTCCATGTCAGGACAACCGGCAAATCCTCCCTCATAAGTTTGACAATTAGCTATCCATTCTCCAGAGTTCTTAAACAATTCATTTGAGTATATATTTGTAAGCTTTGCTATAGATACTGCACAATATATTCCTCTCATATCTATTTCTCCTCCTTCATGCATTTCGAATGACCCATCTGGCTGTTTTAATTTCCAAAGAAATTCTAACAATTTTTCTCTGAAATATTTAAAAGCTTTATTAGTATGTCTATGGTATTACTAAATAATTTCTTTCGATTAACCATAATTTAATATTTATTTAAATCCAGAGAAAAAAATTATATTAGTTTTAAAATGGAGTTTATTTATCATTTATAATCTGAATGAGTTATCGAAATTATCCTTGGCATATACTATACTAGTTTTAATACTATTAACCTATTAATGACATCAAAGGCTTCCTCAGTACCTAATATACATAAAGCATTAACAGCTGCATAGGTAGGAGCCAAATGTGGATATTGACCAGGACCTCCTCCAAATCCGCCTTCTGTGCTTTGACATCTAAAAGTAAACAATTTCATCTCCGTAAAAAATAAATTAAAATACAATCAAAGATGGAAAACATTTAAAATTTTTTTTACTTTTTTAAAAATTGAGCAATTTTAGAAATTTCTTGAGGTTCTAATGTACAATCGAGCAAACTTAAAGAATGTAAAATCCAATAACATAGCCATGGTCTTCCAGCATCAAGACATTGATAACTACTTGACAGATGAGACAATGATGATTTTAAAAAGGCAGAATGTTTATTTCTGATTAATTGAGGTAGTATATTTTCAAAAACTTCAAATAATTTGTTTACAGAATTTTCCACTTTTATCTAAAACGAAAAAATTTTTATTTTAACATTGCTTTAAAAAAAAAAAAAAGTATCGAAATATATTAAAAAGCTAATGAGTTTGAATTAACTGAAAAAAACAATTGAATAATCTTAGTAATTACTGAATTTCGTAACAGATTTCTAATTTAATAAAATCTTAATAACCTGATCTTCAGATGTAATGGTCGGCTTATTTTCATCACAAAACCTTTCTTTTAATTTTTCAGACAATGATCTAGAACCTATACTCATGTTTGAAATTATTGTCATGTAATATAATAATATCGGCACAATTTAAGTTATATTTTTTAAATCATTTTCAGAGATTCTTAAATTTTTTTTAAAGAAGGCTGTGTCTTTTGAACAAAACAAAAACAATTTAGTTTATTAAATCCAAACTATTTTATTGTTTTAAATGATTTTTCTTTTTAACGCATTAGAATAGTAATCCTTTTCGTAATTCATTGAAAATAATTTTTGATTTATTAAAAATATTTAAATAACTATTAATTATTAAAAATACTTGGCACTTGTTATAATTATTAAGTAAGTTTTAAACGTTTAAAACAATTTATAAAATACGAAGTGAACAGTTAGACAAAGTAAAAACGTTTAAAATGCTTTGATTTTCTGTTTTCTTATAAATCTATTATTTAGCTGAAGAAAGTTAGAAAAGATAGGGGGAAAAAAACTAGGTGTATAATCATTATTTTATTTGGAAAATATATATTTATAAAACCCAATATAATTCATCATTTCAATATCTACCAATAAGTACGTCAAACTAAAGGAAATTTTCTATAAATAGTACAATTAGGCATTAGAAAAACTTTAAAAAATTGATTCAGGCTTGTAATATGTAAATTAAAACTGTAATTTTTTCTCATTTTCAATCAATGCAAATAAATAAAAATGATAAAAATTTTCAGGCTTAAGTAATTTTTTATTTATTTACTCGGTCAAAAAAGTTTTTATAAAAATTTTCATACATAACATTAAGTGTGATAAAATAAATCTATAAAACTACTAATAATATTATTAAAAACAAAAAACTCGTTTTAAGAAATTAATTTTTTTTTTTAAATTTTTATTTTTTTTTTCAACTTGTTCTTTTTGTTACCTCAAGATGATTTTACTGAAAATTTCATTGTCAAAATGTTTCCCAATCCACATTCAATTAAATCACCAGGTTTGACAGGCCCTTCTCCAGATGGGGACCCAGTTAAAATTAGATCTCCTGGTTCTAATGTCATATATTGTGATATAAAACTAATTAACTTTGGAATAGTAAAATGAAGATCTGAAGTCAGTGAATCCTATAAATTAAAATTTATTTCAAAAAATATGTTATTAAACTTTATTATTTAAAATACTGGACTTAATAACTTGTAAGAATAATTGCACAAACCTGTTTAAGCTCATTATTAACTTTACTAAATATTCTGACATTATCTGGATTGGGTAATTCACATTTATCGACAAAACGACTCACTGGACAAGCTGTGTCGAAAGCTTTTCCCAAAGCCCAAGGCAAGCCTTCCTTTCTTGATTTCGCCTAATCAATGATAATTACCAAAAATTCTAGAATTACTTTTTTCTATTTTTAAGTTTCAAAAATTTTTTTTTTTTTAATGTAAGAATTTTTCTCACCATATAATCAGCATTTGTCATATCAAGTGCAAGACAATAACCTCCAACATGATTGTATGCATTGCATTCTTCAATATTTTTACCTTTTACTCCGATTATAACTCCTAATTCTACTTCTTGATTAATATTAAATCCTTGAGGTACCTATTAGAATAAAAATATGTTTTAAATATTTAAAAGTTTATTTAATAAGTTTTTAATCATTGCAATGTATTATTTAGTAAAACTAACAATAATGCTTTGTCCCTCTGTAATGTAAGATGAAGAACATTTTAAAAAAATAATTGGTTCTTTGGGAAATGGAAGATTTCTGGATTCGATTAAAGACCTGAAATAAATAAATTTAAAAAAAATATTTTCAATGATGTAAAACTTCTATATTTTATTAACCCAAAAAACAAAATCAATCAATACATATTTTAAATTTAATTAACCTGTAATTAATACCAGCTCCAATAACTTTCTTTCCCATTTTTACAAATTCATTTAATTGAGGGTAAGCCATTTTTATTATTTAAAATATATATATATATATATATTAATCACAATAAAATTATTTTTAAATAAATACCTACGGATAAGAAAAAATTAGGCTGATATTAAAACGAGATTTTTAAAACTCGATATTGTTACGTAAAGTATTATGTAGTTAATCTTATCAATCGTTCTGAATAATATTTGTCTGCAGTTATTGTAATTAAATTTAAGTATTTTCTATTTATAATAAATAAATAAAAATGTTTGAAACATTTCCTATGATTATTTTAATTCATTTTAATTTGATATATGATAAAATACAATAAAGGAGTAAAATATTTATGTAGAATAGGTAATAAATGCCTCCTTATTATCGATTTGACGGTTAATAATTTTTTGTAAATTTAATATGCCTCTAAAAATATTTGAATTTTTAATCAAAATTAACTCAGAAAATCATTTTATTCAGAAATTAATTTCGATTGTTATTAAATGCATTCCGCGTTTTATAATTTCATTCATTTCAAACAATATTGTTCGTTAAAAATTCAAAAAATTGTTTAAAAATTAATGTTAAAAAAAAAAACGTTTGATTTTTCATTTAAAACATATGGATAGGATTTATTAAAAAAAAAAAAATCAGTGAAGTAATAAAAAATAATAATAATAAATGCATATTATTATTTTTTTTTTTTTTATTCATCAGTAAACAAATTAAAACTTCTACACCTTAAATTCATTATTATAAAAATAAAAAAATTCCATTTATTTTTGTTTTAAATTGAATTTCTTTAGAAAATTATGAATTCTCGACAAAATACCATGATTTAAAAGAAAATTTTATATGATTTAATAAATTTTTATTATATTTTAATGAAATACTATATATGATTACAATAAATTTTAATTCTTTTTCAGTATTTCACACTTCAAATTAATTATTAAAACCACATTTGTAAAAAATATCATCTTACAATAATGTAAAGAAATTTACATGTTTATTAAAAAAATACTTTTTTTTTTTTTTTTTTTTTTTTTTGGATAAAAAAAACTTTCTTTGTAAAAAATACAAAAGAAATGAAATATTAATATATAAAAGATATCATATTTACATTCCAAAAAAAAAAAAAATTTTGGTAAAAACTTTTATAGAAAACAATACAAATTGTAAACTTAAATTTTATATAACTAAATAGTAAAAATTTTATATGTAAAATGCTACTGTAAAGTCTTTTGTATTCTCTTCATTTAGAAAAAAAAAAAAAAAAAAAAGGGTATTTATTTTTTTTGAGCCTCATTCAAATCTGTTTCTTTACTTTTATTATTGTCTTGCACAATAGAATTATTTTCTTCTTCTGAAGATATATGATTAGCAGTATTGTTTTTTTTCGGAGTTTCTGAAGGCAAACTATGCTCCATGTTTTTCCTCATACTGTTATCGGAATCACTTTTTAAAGGAGAATTTTTTAAACATTCATTCTTATAATAACAATCTGTCCATTTTTTAATAATTTTTTCATTTTGTACAGGAGAATGCACTGTTGGTTGAATAAATACAGACTTTCTGACATTTTTGTATTTAACATCAGGATTATATTTAATTGTTTTTACTTTCAATTCTTCATTCTCTGAAACTTCCGAACCTAAATTTTCTGTCAAAATATAATTTTTTATCAAAATTAAAAACTTTAAATAAATTTTTAAAAAATTCTTATTTTTTAGGAGGGATAATTCACTTACCAATTAAATTCTTTTGTTTTTTTATCGCTAGTTTCCTTTTTAAAACCTCAACCTCTTTTTCTAGTTGAAGTTTATAATTGTCGATATTTTGTAGTTTTTGATCAAAATCTTTTAAAAGATTTTTAACTTTTTTATGTATTTCAAGTACTGATTTCACTGGAGTTTCTTCTTCTCTAAAACATAATATTTTCAAATATAAAAATTATATTTAAAAAAAAACCAACAAAACTTATTATTTTACCAAGTTACAAATTTATCTTTTTGGGCACTAAATTTTAATAAGAATTTTTCAAATTTGCCTTTGCCAATAATCAAATTTTTAATTAAGGAATAAAAGTTAAATGAGATAATTTATATCTGAGCGATAAAAATTTTTAATAGCTTAGTTTAAAATTTACATTATATTTTGGTTGAATCATACTCACTGCATGTGTGAAACAATGTCATTAAAACTTTCTGCCATTGGAAAAAGACTTTTACTGACATAGCCATTATTATTTACACTTTTGTCACTCAGTGTGTAAATTTTAAGTCTTAGATTCTCAAACTTTGTTTGGTATGGATCATAAGTCATGAAAACATGATTAAAAGTATGTGTGGCCATATTCGATGCCGATGTTGAAGTCATCAAACAAGCGACAAAATATTGACTTTTAACATCGGGTAACAATTCCAACAGTGATTGATGAATTAATAATTCATTTAATGAACACTGAGCTAGAGAACTATTTCTTCTAAATGAATACCAACCGACTATTTTATTTCCTAATACATTAATAAAATTTTGAAGCTTAGCTTTGTTAATACAACCAACATTATTAATAAAGCTTTGATCATCTATTGGAATACAATGTTCAAGATCTACAAATGAATTTAATAAATATTAAATAATGCTCATTTATCACCTAATAAATTAAATAATGTATGTTTGCTTACAAATTGCAGTTTTATGTTCACAATTAACTTCATTTTCATCTGTTTTTTTCGATATAAATTCACTACAAATTTGGCCAATAAGTAATCCTTTCTAAAAAAAAAAAAAAAAAAAAAAAAAAAACCAATTGTAAAAAACAAATTACAAAAAACATAAAAATAAATATGGTGAAGATTAATAAGATGATAATAATAAGTATCAATGTTAATGTTAAAAGTTATGCAAATACTATTAAATTAATAGTTTGTTTTACCTGATCATGAAAACTTCTAGCTGTTTCGAATAACAATAATGATAGGCTTGGGGCGTGACAAGATACATATATTTCTTCTTTCATTTTAAAAAAAAAATATTAACAAAAATTTATTAAACACCTAAAAAGCTGGATTTAATTGTTTTATCATTTAAGTACAATAATTGACTGTGTTAAAATTTTGTGTAAATCATTTTATTGTACATTATAATTCGTCAATTCAATATCATTCATATATAAAAAATTTAATGACTGCAACACAATAAAATTTAGAAAAAAAAAAAAAAATTATAAAATACAATGAAAACTGTAGTATAGACTTTTTGATAGATTAAAAAATCTACTTTTGATGTCAAATTTTCCTTTGCAGAAAATAGCTCAATATCTAGGGGGTTTTGTAAGAATTCAATAATACGTTATCAAAATGTGTTTGATGAAATGCAAAACATAAAAACTTATTTTATTTATTATGATTATATTTTAAGTATTAGTAAATTGTAAATCAAAATCAATTTTTATTTTTTTCAAAAGTTTAATTAAATGTCTTTTGAAAACAATTTGATCCTAATACTAATTTTTATATAAATTTAACTACTTGCATACACTGAAACTCTTTAATTACCAGGTGAATAATAATATCTTAAAACAAAATTTTTGTTTTTTTCTACTTTTTAAATTTAAATGATATTTAAGATCACATCTACATAAATTACTATTTTGTTTTAAAAAGTTTTAAGAATTCTCTTGTTGTCATTTGAAAATAATAAAAATAAAATTTTTACCTAAATAAAAAAATAATTATTGTAAGATTCATTTTGACATTAAATAATTACTTATTATAACGTTTTCTATTATTTTTTATGTTATACTTATTATATTATATGTTGTAAATCATGTTTTACACTAAAGTAATAATTTTGAAATTTTTTTAAATTTCAAAGCTACTTTACTTTTAAAAAAAATTATACACAACTTTTTGATTATACGAGAACAAGTTTTTATAATTTTTTACTAAATTATTAAACTTTGTGTTAAGATGTTTAATTGTAATAGTAAAATATTAATGTTTTTTTTTTTTATAATTGTCATCAGGTAAAATGAGAATCAGAAAATGTTTGGCATTAGGAGGAGCAGTTCTTATTTTTATAGGATGTCTCATCATATACAGGATGGCAGATTATACATTATACCTTCAAGAAGAACCTACCAATCAATTGAAATATGTAAGATTTTTAAAATGTTTAATTTAATAAAAAATTTAATAGTTAAAAAAATTGTATTAAAAAATAATATTATTACTTTTAGGTCCAAGTATCATCTGATAAGAAAATTTTTTCTGATAAAAATAAAGTTTCAAATGTCATTGAAAAAAGCAACATTCAGAGTACGCTTGAAAAATTAAAATTTAATGAAAATTGCAAAAGCATTCTCAAAGAAAATAAGGCAGATTTACAGGTAAGGTAGTTTCTGCAGGTAAATATTACCTTAATGTTAAATGTTGTAAATACCTCTGTAGTGTATATAATATACAGTATATATTGTTTAATTTTCATAATTGATTAAAAAATGATGTAAATAATGAATTATGAGTATTCAAATAATATCGTTTATAAATGTTTAATTTTTTAATGTTTATTTTTCAGATGCTTGACATTTATAATGTGTTGAAATTTGATAATATTGATGGAGGAGTGTGGAAACAAGGCTGGAATATAGAAATTGATCCCAATAGATGGAACTCAAACAATAAATTAAAAGTTTTTATCGTTCCACATTCCCATAATGATCCTGGTTGGTTAAAAACATTCGAAGATTATTACAAAACTGAAACTAGAAATATTTTAAACAACATGTTAAAAAAATTAACGGCTGACCTAGAAAAAAAATTTATTTGGGCAGAAATATCATATTTGTCCAGATGGTGGGATGAGTTGTCAGAAGATGATCAAGAGAAAGTAAAAAGGTAAGTTATTTTTTTAAAATTTCAATTGATCGTTTTAAAATTCTTAGTTGTTTGTTAAATAATTTATTAAAGGGTGGTTAAGAATAAGCAACTTGAAATTGTTACTGGAGGTTGGGTGATGAATGATGAGGCCAACACACATTTTTACTCGATGATCACCCAGTTAACAGAGGGACACCTATGGATGAAATCCAATCTGCAAATCGAGCCTAAGTAAGTGCTTAAAGTGAATTTGTTAAAATTTTTTTTTTTTTTTGAAAATTTATTTAATTAGAAAAAAATTGCTTTGCATTAACTTTTTACTCAAGTACAGTTTCATTACAGAAATGGTTGGACCATTGATCCATTTGGTGAATCACCTGTCATGGGATATTTATTAAAAAAAATGGGAATAGAAAATTTGGTTATTCAAAGAGTTCATTATTCAATAAAAAAATATCTTGCTCAAATGAAAAATTTGGAATTTTACTGGAGGCAATCTTGGGGTAAGATTAAAATTTAAAATATTTTAAATTTTACTTTTTTTGTTTATAACCTTTTATTGTTTTATTGAATGAATGAAATACTTATTCTTTTATGTAAAAGTATATGTGTATGTATGTATATATATATAAAAATGAGTTTAAATATTAGGAAAGTATTTAAAGAAGACATTTAATTTTTTTTTGTTTTTTTACAGATGAAACTGGAGGTAATGATATGCTCACTCACATGACTCCTTTCTACAGCTATGATATACCACACACATGTGGACCAGATCCAAAAATATGTTGTCAATTCGATTTTAAAAGACTTCCTGGAAATGGTTTATCTTGTCCTTGGAAAGAACCTCCAAAACCAATTACAAATAAAAATGTTGCTTTTAGGTAAACTTTGTTTATTAATTTAACGGTTAAGTGATTTTAAAAAAAAATAAAAAATCACTTAGGCATTGTAAAAATTGTGATTTACTTATTTATTGCTATTTTTTTTTTTTTTTTTAGAGCTCAAATGCTACTGGATCAATACAAAAAAAAATCAGAACTTTATCGCACGAATTCTCTTTTGGTTCCTTTGGGAGACGATTTTCGTTTTCAACACTCTTCAGAATGGGATTATCAATTTAATAATTATAATAAACTTATCAAGTACATAAATGCAACTCCTGATTTTTACGCAGACGTAAAATTTGGAACTTTGTCAGATTATTTTCACTCTCTTCGACAAGAACGCGGTGTTGGTAGTTTTCCATCTTTAACTGGAGATTTTTTCACGTACGCCGATCGTGACGATCATTATTGGAGTGGCTACTACACATCCAGGCCATTTTACAAACGAATGGATCGAATTTTAATGGGGTATCACAGGTAATTCCAGATATAATTTAGTAAAAAGTATTTTGAAATTTATTAAACTTATTTTTCTTACTTATTTCATCATTATAAATAGGGGAGCAGAAATAATTTTTGCACTGGGATGGAGCATACGAGATTTAACGACGTCAAGTGATTTACTATCTCCGAATATGGGATTTGCAAAAATGTTACGGGATGCCAGGCGAAGTTTAAGTTTATTCCAACATCACGATGGGATAACTGGTACAGCAAGAGATAATGTTATGGAAGATTACGGACAAAAAATGATAGTAGCCATTAATAATTCGAAATATGTTATTCAGCAAGTGTCCCATTTTCTACTTTCGCCCTCGCCCTCTTCATATTCATTTAAACAAGAAAAACAATATTTTTTCTTTGACGATGAAAGGAAATATGCCAACGAGTGGTCTCCAAGAAAGGTCTTCCAGTTTAATAATAACGAACCGATAACGATTGTTTTGTTTAATTCTCTAACTTACGAAAGAAGAGAATTAATTTCTATTTTTGTTTCAACGCCATTTGTCGAAGTAAGTTTTTTTAAATTGAATTTAAATAAATTCATAAATATTTTTTTAATTGTTTTTTTTTTAATTTCTTTCAGGTTTTCGACCATCAAAATACTCCCGTTCAATGTCAAATCAGTCCGTTTTTTTCTCAAAATGAAGAAATCGATGAAACGAGATTTGAAATTTCATTCGTCGGAAAAGCACCTGCTTTGGGATTAATTTCATATAAAATTTTTCCCAAATCATCTTCTTCGAAGGAAGGGTAAGTATTTCTTTCCACATAAATTCCAGTTTTGGTTTGAAATTAATTTAAAAATTATTTACAGGATGAATAATTTTTCCAAGATAAAGATTTTCAATCTTTTGAAAGAAGTCAGATACAATAAATATTTCACGGACATTGTGGTAAAAGGAGGAGAAGACTTCTATGTGGAAAATTCTAAAATAATGGTTGCCATTAGCGAGAAAGGATTGTTGAAATCAATCACCGACAAAAAAACAATGGAATTACTTCCTCTTAATTTAAATTTCGTTCAGTAAATATTGATTTCTCTTACTTGTTAAAAAATTAATGTTTAAATAAAAAAAAATTTGGGTAGTTACTGAAGTTTTCCTTGTTTTTAAGGTATTTAGCTAGGGAAAGTAAAGAAAAAAGTGGTGCCTATTTATTTTTACCTGATGGTGAAGCGACCATTTTAAATGACGAATTACCATCTATTAGAGTTTTCGAAGGACCCTTATTCACAAGGGTCGAAGTTCAATTACGAGTTGTTAAACATATCATGTGTATTTACAACACTCCAGAGTTATGGAATTTAGGAATCGAAGTCGTTAATTATGTCGATATTTTACGCGAAAATAATTACGAGCTTGCAATGAGATTGACTAGTAATGTAAAAAATGGCAACGAATTTTATACGGATCTCAATGGATTCCAGGTGAGATTTTTCAAAAAGAAAATGATTGAAAATGCGTCTAAAAATCAAATAGGACTTATTTGTTTCAAAAAAAAAAAAAAAAAAAATTCCAGATAATCAAAAGGAAAACATTTTCAAAACTTCCAATTCAAGCAAATTTTTATCCTATGCCCTCATCCGTTTACATCGAAGATGGTAAATCGAGAATAACCGTGGTTAGTGGTCAACCGTTGGGAGCTTCTTCACTGAAAGAAGGTACGTTGGAAATATTACAAGATCGACGTCTTCAACAGGATGACAATAGAGGATTGGGTCAAGGAGTTTTAGATAACAAAGTGACACCTAACGTCTTTAGAATTTTGATTGAAAAACGGTTGAAAAATTGTAACGTGAGTTTAATTAAACTTATGAGTTTGAAAAAGAAAATGGGGAAAATCTAACACGTGTGTGTGTGAAATTTGTAATTTTTCAGACGTTTTCCCATCGCTTTCGGTCAATTCTTATAAATCATCTCAGAGTTTATTTTATCCCATGTTTAAAATGATATCACCAGAAATTTCATTAAATGAATTATCTAGTTCCTATTCTCCCAGTAAGACTGATTTAGACGTCGATTTACATTTATTATCCGTGAGAACGTTAGACGAAGAAGAAATCAAACCAAAAGCTGGTCTAGTTTTTCACAGACCTTATTTAGATGTATGCTTTTTAGAATCGCCATCTTTGGGAAAGGGAAACGTGAGTAAATTAAATTAATTAATTAGCGAACGAACAAAATAAAAATTATTATCCGTTGAAAATATTAAAATATATATTTTTTTTTAGTTAAACTTGTTGTCATTTCTTCCGCATCATTTTGGTGATTCCATGATAAAAGCATCATTATCATTTTTAAAAGAGGAAAAAGTTTTAGACAAGAGAAAAGATTTAAAATTGTGTTTTATGGATTTTTTATCACTACTCATGTCTTGATAGTTATAATTTTATTTATTTATTGAAAAAAAAAAAAAAAAGAAACTGTGCTCTAATTTATTATAATTTTGCTTTTATATTAAAAAAAAATTTTTTTTTTTTTTTTTTTTTTTTTTTTAATTATTGTGATGTATAGAGAAGTCGTAGAAGAATTTTTTTTTTTACATAGTTTTCAAATTGTGATTGACATATCCATAAAATAAAAAAAGTTACTTAATATATATATATATATCTTTAAGAAAAAAATATTTGGGCGCATTCGAAAATATATATATTAGAAAAAAAAAAAAAAAAATTAGTTTAATTTTCACGGAGACTGCACGAATTTATTATATTAAACCTTTTTGTACAAACTTGAACAATACATTTTGTAAATAAATAATGGTAAAAATTTATTTATTATTAAATAACGGCATCGATTTATTTAATAACTAGTTTTTTTGTATTTGGTATTTACTGTAAAATAATTTTAATAAATTTATTGTAAATATTGATAAAAATGTGTGTGTGTGTGTGTAATATTTATTTTTTATTTTTGAAGAAATATCGGATATAAATAATTAAAATTAATTATTTTTAAATAAAAAAAAATATATTTGAAATTGTATGACGACGCAGATACTTTATAAAAGTTTACAAGTAATTAAATACATTTTTATCGGTTTTTTAAGTATGAGCTCAAAACTGATTCTTTTAATAATTTTATTGTAGTTGGATGAGAATAACCATTAATAAGACTTTTGGCAAGTAAAATGTTTGGATTTTTTTCTTTAGATTTTGTATCTGGTATCGACTTGTAATTGAGCATCTCATTTTTTTTTTTAATATAATTTTTAAGATCGCAATGTTCTACAGCCGTTTTTTCACAGAAGGATGTGTCATCAATTTCTTGTTGAAACTTTTCTTTAGAATTTTTTTGTTTTCTAAATTGAATACATTTTTCAATACAATTAGATATCGTTTTAAAAATGTAATCTTCTTCTTTTAACAATGAATATTCATTTGGATTTAATAATTGTTTAGCTTCTTCTAACGATAATTCTTGACATACGTTGTAAACAAAGTTTTTTACCAAAGATTCTTCTAATCTGCTTTCACAGTCAATGTTCTAAAAAGATTTTATAGATTTAAATTTATTAACTTTATTTAAATATGTTGTAAAATATAAAATAATATTGTACTTGCCATGGGTACCCAAACATTAACACTAATGGCTACTTCTAAATTTTCAACATAATGCCACCAGTGCCTAGGTATAAAAAGAACTTCACCCGGTGATAAAATGACCTGATATGCCTTCTTAATACCTTAAAAATAATAAAATATTAAAAATAAATCTCATTAATAATTTCATAGACAACCAAAGGCTTACTTAGTAATTTTTCTGAAGGAGTATAAAAATTTTGGGCACTGTATATGCTGGATTCTTCATATGGAACTCTTACTGGTTCCATTTCATCAATTTCATCAGGAGGAATTAATATCCATAATTTTCTAATAAAATAAAAAAAAAAAAAAAGTAGTTTTTTAAAAAATCGACAAAAAAGTTTAAATATATATATTTTTTAAAATTTTTACCTGCCTAATATTTGAGCGACAAAATTACATCCATAGGTATCCATATGACAAGGAGTATGAGCACCTTCATTGCCAATCCATAATGTAGAATCTTTAGCTGAAATATTTGGTAAATTGAAATTGGACCATTTTATATCCTAAAATCCCAAGGTGCCATTTAAATTTCAGTAATCGAATTAAAATTGTTAACTCATTACCTTACATTGAATACTTCACTATTTAAGGGTAAAACATCTTTCATGTATTTATAATCGTAATATAACCAAGAATCTTTCTGAGTTTTTGAACTAACAAAAAAGTTTTGTAAAGTTATTTTTTTAATGTCGCACTCCTGCTCCCAATAAGGATCCTGTAAAATTAATTTTAAAAAAAAAATTATTAGTATTGTTATTAGTTTAAATCTTAACTCAAATAATTACTTTTCTAGGAATTTTGTTGCCTGCTCTAAATTCAAGAATCTTATTTTGAAATGCATTACACCAATCATTTTCCTCATATTTTAATACGCCCCAATCGTTGATTTTGTTTTTTAAAACAAAAGGAGAGTCATGTGTAATATGAGACGAATTGAAATTCATTATCAGAGTGTTTTTTAATTATATTGGGAAAAAAACAGAAATAATTATAATAATTTAAATTAAGTACAATTAACGACTTTATATATTTCATTCGCACCGTTCACAAATAAATTATTAATTTTAAGTTGGTATCACTGATTTTTAAAATATTTTTATTTTCATTTTAAGTAATATACCTGCTCCTCATTCATTCTTTAATTTAAATTTAATTTATAAATTAAAGTCTAAAATTTTATATAACTTAATAAAAATGTGGAAAAATGTAAATACCTTTCCGCGAAAAATATTACAATGCAAAGAAGTCTTAATTGAAATTCAAAGGGTACTTAAAAGTTGTTTTGTTACATAAATTTAGTTAAAAATTATTTTTTAATAATTTTGGAACTTTTTTTTTTTTTTTTTTTTAGAATGCATTTGTATTAAAACGTTTAAGTTCTGTACGTCTGTCAAAGCTTGGAGCACCACCTAAAAAACTTGAAGAGCGTAATTTTTTATATGAAACAATTGTAAAAACAGAATCAGTAAAAAAACCACCAATTGAGTTAGTTTTAATTAAAGATGTACCCGGTGTAGGAATGTTAGGTGATAACATTAAAATAAACTGTTACAATGCTTATAAAGATTTTTTACTGCCTAAATTAGCAATTTATGCTGATTCCCCAGAGGCTATAAATATAAAGAGAAAAAAGGAGGATGTTCAATATAGTTCTATTTACTGCCAAATAGTAGGTTTTATTATTTTTTTTTATTTTTTTATTTTCTGAATGATTATATGAGTGCATTTAAAATATTGTTTGCATTAAAAAAAAACTTTGTCGTCTAATAAATTATGTAACAACAATTTTAATATAGGTTGAAAAATATTTAACTCTACATCCTCTACAAATTACGCTAAACCAAAAAACAAATTGGACTTTGGAACCTTGGCATATCAAAATAGCATTGAGACAGCAGGGCATTATTGCAAATGAAAATTGCATTAAATTACCTGATAAAACTATTTCTGGACCAAATGTAGAAATTGAAAACAAAGATTTTATAGTACATGTAAAAGTAAGTTAAAAATTATTATTTACGGAATTGATTTTTTATTTAGTAGAAATATTTTTTTTTTTTTTTGATTATTACGATTTTTATTTTTTTGTCTCTAGATGAATGATTCAGAAACATTTAAAGTAAGATGTAGAATATATCACATAGATAATTCAACTTCCAGATTTATTAATATTGATAGTATTTATTCAGAAAGCACGGCATTGTTTCCAGAAGAGCAAGATATGATAAATGCTCAGATAAAAAAAGAACTCGAGTTAAAACAAAGTATGCTTAAGTTTAATACAATTTCAACTTTTAAAAAATCAAAAAAAAAAAGTAAAAAATAAATGTAAACTTAAATATATATATAATTGTTTTTTTTATTATTATTATTAACTTCAATTTTTTTTTACATTTTTAAAAGTTATACAATATAAATTTTTTGTTATATGGCTCAACCTTAAATAATAATATTAAAATTTTAATCTTATTTAAAATTAACAATAAAATATATAATAAAAAATAAATTAATACATTAAAATTAATAGAAAAATAAAATATTTTAGCACTTAAAAATAGTCAATAATAGCCTTTGTTTAAAAATTTGAATAGATTTCAAAGGTAAAACATGGGTTTTACCATATAATTTTAATATAACCTGTGTATTGTTGAATGGTCTTTAATTACATCCAAATTATGAAGATTTTTCCACCAATGGTGTAAAAAATATTTTGTGCAAAGTTTAAACCATGGAGAAATAGGATGTTTTAAATTGGAAATATAATCATCAAAATCTTTTTGAGCCACATATTTTACATTTGAAATCTCTTCAGGGTTGGGTACTATGTCTAAATCTTTTTTTAAAAATAATATATAATCTAATTCATGTTCTCCCCATTCGATATTATCTTTACTTTTATAAAGTATTCGAGTTATGTAATGAAAATCATCTAATGAAGTTTGATCTTGTGTTACACCCAATTCTATATTCATTCGTCTTTGAGCAGCTAATTTAACTCCTACAGCATTTTTTTCATTTCTTTCATGTTCAATTTCGTATAGTGGATGACTACAGCAAGCATTGGCAATATTATGAGGGAATGTTATTTTATTGGGTGATCTTTGTTGCAAAAGTATTTCTCCTTTACTATTAAATATAAACAAACTAAATGCACGGTGAAGAATTAAACTTCCATCACTTTGAATTTTATGACAATCCAATTTGGAAGCGGATCCTAACACGTTATCCTCTTCGTCTACAATAATACATTTTTCTTTTAAAGAAATATCTTGAAATGTACTAAATGCATTGAATTTTTTTAAATCAAAAAACTGTTTTGAAAATCTGTTTAAAAAGTATTTTCCTATTAACTTAGGTATCATATTTTTTTTTTTTTTGAAAAACTTTAAAAATGAAGAAGTTAACACTTTACGAACGGAGAATACGAATATTAATAGAGAACGTATTTTTAAATATTTTAAACTTTCACTGCAAAAAATTTAAAACTTCACTACTAATAACTTTCCCTTAATTTCCCTGACTATTATAGAATTTAAATTAAGTTCCTCGATTTGAATTGAATATTTTTAAATATTGGCGACAAAAATGTCGTCTGCAGTGTTCGAAATGCTAGACGTGTCCATTTGTTATTTTTAAAAAAAAAATGGTTACTAAAAAATTAGCGGAAACGTCTGTTTCTAATCCTTCAGGATGGAAAAGTTTATTAATATTTACAGTTTTACTATTAGCATGGTTAGCCGGGTTTTCTTCCAGACTATTTGCCGTCATTCGGTTTGAAAGTATTATTCATGAATTTGACCCTTGGTAAGATTAATTAAATAAAGCCGGTTTATTTTACCTGCACTCCAATACTCAAGTGTTTCTAATTAACAATTATCAATTATTTACGTAAAAAAATTAAAATTTATTAAATATTAATAATTTTGAAATTTACATTATACGGAACTACAAATTATATTTATAATTAATGTACTTCTTAAATTACTTTATATCCTGTTACTTAACACTCATTTTTCAAAATAATAATTCTCGTTTTTTTTTTTTGTGTAGAAATATATACTATGTCAAATTTTAGGTTTAATTACCGTTCAACGGCTTATATGGTTAAACATGGATTTTATAATTTCTTGAATTGGTTTGATGAGAGAGCCTGGTACCCCCTGGGAAGAATAGTTGGAGGAACTATTTACCCTGGTCTAATGATAACTTCTGGTAGCATACATTACATTTTACATTCTTTGAATATACCTGTTCACATAAGAGATATATGTGTATTTTTGGCTCCCATATTCAGGTAATTTGCTGTTATACATTAGAACTCTTCGTTTTTGAAGTTTTTTTGAATAAAATTGTTTTATAAGGCATTTTAATTTATTACCAAGTACTAAATTAAAATGATAAACAATAAGTTGAAAAATAGTAGTAATTAATGTTACAAATCATAATAAATGTTAAAATTTTTTTTTTTTAACATTATAAATTTGATACATAATTCTTTTTTAGTGGATTAACTGCAATCGCTACATATTTTTTAACTAAAGAATTATGGTCAAGTGGAGCAGGACTTTTTGCTGCATGTTTTATTGCTATAGTACCTGGTTACATCAGTAGATCAGTGGCAGGAAGCTACGACAATGAAGGAATAGCTATATTTGCTTTACAGTTAACCTATTTTCTCTGGGTTAAGTCAGTCAAAACGGGATCAATATTTTGGTCTAGTCTTACTGCACTGTCTTATTTTTACATGGTAAAAACTAATTCACTATAAAACATTTTATGTTTGAATAAATTTATATTTTTATTATATTATACAATTTTTATCTTTATTTCAGGTTTCTGCCTGGGGTGGATATGTATTTATTATTAATTTAATTCCTCTTCATGTATTTGCCCTTTTAATAATGGGCAGATACTCAAGCAGATTGTTTACTTCTTACACAACATTTTATGTTTTGGGCTTGCTTTTGAGTATGCAAATACCTTTTGTCGGTTTTCAACCTATTCGTACAAGTGAACACATGGCAGCTTCTGGTGAATTAATTTGTATAAATTTTTTTTATTTTTTATATTAGTTATTCATTAAATATTTATTTTAAAATTTTCAGGTATTTTTGCTTTGTTAATAGCAGTGGCAACTCTTAAACACATGCAAACTGTTTTGTCAAAGGCTGACTTTAAACACCTTTTTATAGTCGGAGGTATATCGGCAGCTGTTTTAGTTTTTTTAACAGTAGTTATCTTAACATACTTTGGTGTGATTGCTCCATGGAGTGGTCGTTTTTATTCACTTTGGGATACTGGTTATGCGAAAATTCACATTCCAATTATAGCTTCAGTTTCTGAACATCAACCAACTACTTGGTTCTCATTTTTTTTCGATTTCCATATATTAGTTACAACATTTCCAGTTGGTTTGTGGTATTGCATAAAGAATGTCAACGATGAAAGAGTTTTTGGTAACTACATTACTTTTTAAAAAATCAAGTATTTCAAAAATTTTATTTAATGTGCAAATTGATTTATACATAAATCAAATTTTCAGTCATACTCTATTCTTTAAGTGCTGTATATTTTGCTGGAGTCATGGTTCGTTTAATTCTGACTTTAACTCCAGTTGTATGCATGCTGAGCGGTGTAGCCTTTTCTATTTTCTTTGGGTCATTTCTTAAAGAAGACGAAAGAGCAACAAATGTTGAAAGTGATAGCGAAGACAGTTCAAACGACAGAAGCAGCAATAAAAATATGTATGACAAGGTGGTATATTAATATATATATTTTGTTTAAAAAAATAAATTCATTTTACAATTATACTATGTTTTTGTATTAAAAATTTTTTAATTTTCAGGCTGGTAAATTAAGAAAAATGAGACACGAACAACAAAAAGATGCAGAAGGACTTGGAGTTAATGTAAAAAGTATTGTTACGATTGGTGTGGTATTGACATTGGTTATGTTTGCTGTTCATTGTACCTGGGTTACAAGCAACGCTTATTCAAGTCCTAGTATTGTCCTTGCTTCTTATAGCCAAGACGGGTATTTTATTTTATTCTTTTTTTTTAGAAATATTTTGACTTTTGTTTAAATTAAATTTTTAAAATTATTTACTGTAAATATTTTCTTTAATTCATTGTAATTGATATTTATTAATTTAGAAAAAAAAAAAAAAAAAAAAAAATTTCAGATCCAGGCAAATATTAGATGATTTTAGAGAAGCATATTTTTGGATTTCACAAAATACTGCCAACGATGCGAGAATAATGAGCTGGTGGGATTACGGATATCAAATAGCAGGAATGGCAAATCGTACTACTCTGGTTGATAATAATACCTGGAATAACAGTCACATCGCTTTGGTAAGTAATATTTCATTTAATTTTTTTTTTTTTTGAAATAAGACGACCAATTTTTTTTTTAAATTATATTTCTCTTTAACACAGGTTGGTAAAGCCATGTCATCCAACGAAAGCGAAGCATATAAAATAATGACGGCTTTGGATGTTGATTACGTATTGGTTATTTTCGGGGGTGTCATCGGATATTCGGGAGACGACATAAATAAATTTTTGTGGATGGTGAGAATCGCCGAAGGAGAGCATCCCAAAGACATTCGGGTTCGTATTATTAAAAATATTGTTTAATCTCTAATAAACTTTAATTACTCGTAGTGAAATTTTTAAATTTTTATTTTTTTTATTTTTTTTTTCAGGAAGCAGATTATTTCACCGAGAGGGGAGAATTTCGTGTGGATTCAGAGGGGACTCCGACACTTTTAAATTGTCTAATGTATAAATTAAGTTACTTTAGATTTGGAGAATTAAAAATGGATTACAGGAGTCCTGCTGGTTTCGATAGAACGAGAAATTCGGTGATTGGAAATAAAAATTTTGATTTAACTTATTTGGAAGAAGCTTACACGACGGAACATTGGCTAGTAAGAGTTTACAGGTAATAAAT